TAGAATACTGGCTGATAACAAAGTTTCATAATGGACTCATACGTTACCCTGATCCCATAAGTTTCTCCGACCACGAAGGAGTGACGCATTTTTTAGCGCTTATCAACCTATTGACCTGAAAGGTTATGAAAATTTTCTAACAGCCACGAGCTATTCAAATAGAGAGGCAGTGCAGAATTAAACATCCCTAAAATATTAAGCAATTACAAAGTCACATCAGGCGATAAAGTGTAAAGTTATTTCTTAATTAGGGTAGGTGTAAGGTTCTTTTTGCAGCGTTTACCCACGTCTCTCCGAATCACAGGAAAGTTACTGTTCTTTGGTGGTCGTATAAAATTTCCTGTCTTTGACGACAGTGTCGTTTAGTCAAGCATGGGCTTATAGCGCATCCTGCTTTGCTGTAAAGTACTTTTACCGCTGCTTTTTTTAATATTGTTAATTTAGATAAAATGATAATCTGCTTTGAGTGCATATTGCGTTTCGAAAAAGGATCTATAAGAATCGATACCATATCAGGTTGTTGTCACATGCACTCTTTCGTATCGTGCATACGCCCGTATTGTGTATGTAGTATGTTACGTTTTAAAAACTTAATAAATTTGATAAAATCCAACAACTGATTGTTACTAAATTTTATCTAAGAACTGAATGTGATCTAAAAGAGCTGGAGACGTGTTTTTTTTTTATCACGGGCATCTTCACCATTAGTGTTAATGTTGTTGAAACCAGATGTCAGAACTCATCTTAATAATTGATATGCTAACAACGTGGTATTTCATGTCGGCCGCTTAAACAAGTTCTTGAACGGGGTAATCGTTTCTTTAGTTCTCAGCACGTGGACGGCTCCCCAAACTATGTAATATGCTTGCGGGGTTACGATCATTGATGTTGTCCTTTACATGGGCGTGCACCAAAACGATGTCGCATTTAGATCCGCCTCTATGTTGACTGGTTTTACCGTCATGATTTGGTTTTCCCCTAACGAAGAAGCTTCAGTGTTCAGAATGGCATCAATGAGTAGTCGCCGTGTATGCTTTTTGCTATCGTTCGTGATTTTTGAACAGCTATGTCTGCATTTGTACTCCTGACAGACTTGCCTCGATTTACGCTCGTTCCTTGTATATTAGCAGAGTGACATCGATAACCGTGCAAATTACCTCCTCATCAACGGGGTAATAACTGTACCTCAAAATATCAATGGTGCATCGTATCGCCTTATCGTGAGTCGCTTGTCGTTGTGTTATGCCGCTGCATTCGAGTCCACTCTTCCCCTTTCATTATCCAGTCTTCATTTCTATCAAAGCACGACTTACTCGGCCTCTCTAGTCGAACCCATTGTTGCTATTTTCCATGCCATCTCCGAACAGAAAAAAAGACAAAAGAAACAATAAAAAAAGATATCAAACAAATGTACATATAATATAGCCGACAAAGGCATGAATAGAAGTAAACTAGATAGACGTGTGTATCAATGCACGTACGTGTGTGCGTTTCCTCCGATATTAGATTCAATGTAAAATTCGAAGTTTCTCGACAAGCTGCACCAGAACTGCAGTAAGTCCATATTGAGTCTTCTGCTTTGTTTGTCGCTGTGAGTATCGTCAGATGGGAGACGCCCATAAAATATATTGGGCACGTGCTAAAGAAACAGAAGCCGCACCGCAAGCTGCGTGCCTTCCTGCTTCGTATTTTACGCACAATGCGTCTCATGTCACGTATAGTCCCTTTGCTCTCGTGCTTTCCCGAACCATTTCGATTGTACATTACCTTTCCCATCCCGCCTGCCGTATTCTCGATTTCTCTGTGAATCTTTTAAAAAATTGGTAATACCAGCTCCGCAAAAAGCGGCTACACCAGTGCCGATAGCCCTCGTACCTCTAGCGAGGTCAACGATCGAGAAGAGAGGATCCTACTTATAGACCTGCCACCAACATGGGGCTGACAGAAGCAACAACAGTAACAGCTAAAATCGTAAAAATGTCATCCGTCGTAAAGGGAGCCAGTTTGTAACTAATCCCCGCAGCAGCGCGTTCGCCGTTATGCAGTAATGTCAGCGTAGCTGCTATCGTTGTGGGTGGCGACAAGGGAAAAGATCATCTCGTTTTCTAGATTTTGCCGTCGTATGAGCTGCCGCCGTGACAGTATCCATGATGACTGCGTATTAGAACTGATGGAAGTGGTTCGTAAATAATGTTTTCGGGCGGCAGCAACAACGGCACTGATAGATATATAGACTGCGTATAAGGGCAATAGCGAACTACTAAAATGGGCGGAGCTGGTGCACTGATTACGTCGATGGTGGTGCCCCAGCTGGCGTCACGGCGAATCCTTTTGTCGGTGGGTTCGGTTTCCGGTTTTATCTGCTGTGGCCGTCTAAGCCGCCGCCGGGTCGGTGTCTGGATGATATCGTTCACGACGTCGCCCGTCTGCCTCGACTGACTTGTGCACAGTCATCAGGCGAGGCGTGGATATCAAGATGGAACAAGAAAGGGACAAAACAAGATGAAGAGGGCAACGACGAGCCCTATGCAATGTTGGTCCTTTGTATTAGGCAGCGAGTGTTTTTACGTTGTTGGACAACGAGAGCAGCAACAGCCGATCTCTCTGATCATAGGCATTGTTTTTGTCCCTGTTATCATCACGATGTGGCAGGACGACTTGGCGTAATCAGGAAAGTCGAGACGACAGGAATGGTCGTTCATTATATTGCAACGTCGATAGGAAATGGCGATTTTTTTCATTTTAAATATGATCACCATATTTGTCCATGTTAGGAAAGCAATTTTGGCATAATTGTGGTGTTCATACTGAGATAATGAAGAAAGAAGCTAAAAGGCCAGTACAATTTGCCAAGCGTACATGCATCCTAAAATAGATTGAATTTCGTGGTAAGCAAGAACGCAGTTGTCAGTCATAGCGAACTAAGAAGAAAATTCAGTTTCTCTTGGCAAGCTCTTTCAGTATCTCTAGTACAGCTGGCACGCTTTTGGGTGTGTTTGATACATATATATAGAACAATGTTAATTTTGTACTTGTCCAATGAATCTTGTCAACCTAAAGGCTTGCAAGACTTCCCTAGACGTTTTTCTACCCATATATGTAAGTATTCGGAGGCTCTAGGATCTAAGGATTTAGACAAGGCATAAATTCTTGTTCTTCTCCCATTTCTTCTCTTCTGCAAACGTAAGAGATCAGGTCTTTCATATATTCACACACCTCAGCCTACATTACCACTCCGTCTGCCATTTATATAATGCTATGACACCAGAGTCAATCGCTAGCGAAGCGCGGACTTTTAGCGCTGAAACTTTTCGTAGAGTGACCGCCTAAGCTACTAATTTCCTATAAAAATGGCGTCGTTTTCTCAAAGAGCTGTTAGATTCTCATTAGACTACACGTGACAACAACGTAGGATAAATTTTGCGTTCGTTCGAGCTCTAGAAGACATCGGGTCCAGATCGTACTCTGAAGAGAGCTCCGCCAAAAGTGGTAGTCACTTTGCCTTGCTCTTTTGCGTCCTATGGAGCCTCAATTTCCCTTTAGCTCTTTTCCCAGTAGCAGCTGCCTCCTGAAGCGACGTAACGAGCTTTTAACACCATCGACGAGCAGCACCGCTGCTGCATTTTTCTTGCGTGTCGTCCTTGAACGTTAACTGCAAAAAGCAAAAGCAAACGCGGGCTGTTTTGAGGGCATGCTATGGCCTAGTTTTTCTCTACCACAACAACCTTTACCAAAAGGCTAGAGGGGAAAAAAGCAGCCAAAAAAGGTTACTGCACCTGCCTCTGCTAAGCGAAATGTGGACGCTGGCTGAGGGTGTCTGGTATAGCGTTGCGCCCTTGTAGTCTATGCTGCTTATACTGTTATAGCTGCCGACGGTCGTAAACCTCAATAGTGTTGCTGTTGGTTCATGGTCCCGCCGTTGCTAAGCTGTCCGTGCTGGACACCCAATGTCGTTTTTGGGTCTTTCATCGGTATTTACTGCATTTCAACGTCTTGTTTTTTTTACGCGTTCCTCCGCGCAACGGGATAGGCTGTAACCGCGTGTCAGGTACCTAGCTCTTCTCTACGCGCGCCTCGTTTGAACGCGTGCGTGGTGAGGCTCCTCGTGAACTGTCTAAGTAGCCTGTACACACGCGCCTATAAAGAATAAACGAAAAAAAAAAACAATTGCATAGAACATATGTATAATCTTTCGAGAAATAGCAGATGTAGGCGGAGGACCTTCCCGTAGCGGTCTACGGCAGGATATGTGGATGGTCCTTGCTGTTATGGTTATTTACGCCCGATGTTGATGGCTCCTGTATGAAAGGGTAAACAGATATTGTAAGATGGAATTTCAGAGGCCGATCTTTTATGGACGAAATTATTGTTATGGTTTTAAACTCGCTTCGCCCCAAACGGTTCGACTTCAGCATAATATTTATCGTCACTTGAATGAAACCTTTTACCATCCCTGTAAGAATGAAGCAGACTTTCGCTTCTAAGGCTACATGGAATCAATATATACATGCAAACGAACGCAATTTATCTGTGCTTTCTGCTAGTTGCCAAAAAACGAGTGCTTTTCTGTTGGTTGTTTACGGCGAGATAATAGACCTAACATGCCTGGAGGAAATTATATTTATAACCAACGAATTAACGGCTCCCTGTGCTTAAGTTCCTTGACTGGCCCCTATGGTAGCTGAGCTGTTTTCGGCCCATTATTACCACATACGATACATAGACTCAGTATATAGGTGCTACTAATTTCCTTAATTCCAAAGTGCTCCCAGAGCGCTTCCCATCACATTGCCTCAGGCCTTATAGCGTCAGACTTGCTTGGTATATGGCAGCCGATGGTGGCCCATTATCTTCAGAACCGCTTCATACCAAGGTCTATTTTATCGTACAATATACTTGGTGCATAATACATGAACTGATGCTAAATTCAAAACACCCTCGGAAGAGCTGACCGATGATGGTATATCGTGGCTCTTCGTTGACGTGAACGAAGCCGACCACTAAACTCATTCATTAAATTTACCGCTTTAACGTTAGTACTGATACATTTGACAGAAGATTTTTGTAATGTTTCTCCGGTTCTTACTGGCAACGGTTAACACTTAGATGGCTCAGAGTGTTTTCCTTGAAAAACACACTTTTATAACAACACCATCGACAACACATACTTTTCGATGCACATTTGTTCCTTCCGTCCCATGACTGTGATTGCCTTTCGGATAAAGTAGCTTTTTTCTGTTCCAATTTTTACCTAAAACATGGCGACCGGCTGAAATAGCATCACATAACCTATGCTATTTTTTTTTCTATTTCCTTTTACCTGTCGTGGCGACTCCCTATGTCGGGTGATAGTGAAACGGCTCGTTTGCTGTCAACGGCGAAACAAACGTAAACTGGTGAGGTATTAAGGAGGGCAAGCAACGATATTACGATATAGTCATTTACGAGGCACACGAAAGGATCCCGAGACAAGAATTGAAAGATCGAACAAATTTGGACGCTACTGGTCTTACCGTTCCTCGTAGTGATGACTCTTTGCACAAACAGGGCTGAACATACTCCCATATGAGATATACATGATGTTATGTTCACCGTCGCGTCGCTTTGAATGCAATTTATTACCTGCATTTGACGTTTGACATGATAACACAATAGGTAAAAGGGAGACTGGGTGCTTCGTCAGCAAGCATTGTGCTATCAGTACCATTATAGTCATGATGCCAATCAGATGCCAGCCCCTGCCGTCCGCTTCAAAACAGAACTAAGACGAGTTACTTGTACCACTATAGCGGCGGCCCCTGTTATTTCTGCTACTTCAACGGCTACAGATACGATGAACAAATGAATAAAATAGCGGTGTAGAGGCTTCTCCATAGACGCACTGATAAAGCTTTGGCCGGGGTGCTCGAGCAGAACTTCGAGTGATGGCACTCGTCAGGAGTGATTTGTTCTTCGGAAGAATGGGGGAACACAAGCGGCAATGGTTCAACGCCCAGAGAAAGTCCAGTGTCAAGATTAGCAGTGCCTTTAGCGGCAACTAGACGTACATATATAGTGTTGTTACAATGCTCAAAGATTGAATAGGATAAGGCATGCATTATCGTCGTTGAAGAACGAAGAGAAAAACGCAACACTAAATCAATGAGATTAAGGGTAAGGAAAAAACGGGTCTAAGTTATTGTTATTATTATTTTTGCTGTTCGAATCCAATGACTATTTCCGACAAATAACACCATGCAAACTGAAAAAATGATCTTGATGAGATACGTGTACAAGTCCACTAAGGTTAGCTAGCTAGCTAGCTATAGATGTTGAACACTTGAAGGGAATCACACATGAGAGCTCACAAATAAGCTCAAAACATTACACAAACATTGTATCTTATAGGCGTATATATGGCTGGCTAATTGGTATCGCTCTTGAAACATAATCCACATGTATTTAATACTTATGAAGAATTAAAAAGATTGTACTATGTTTACCATAGCGCGTTTAGACCTTGAAGAATATGTTATCTAATCCATACGGGCTTAGGGTCATAGGGGTTAGCTAGCTTGGTAAACATAATATTGCCGAATACGGCCGTATGGACTACAAGTAGTAATATTACTTTACATAAACGTCTCTCATACTTTTTTTTAACTAGATTGCGGCCAGACTCGAGAAGGGTTTCTTTATCTTTGTTTCCGCTTGGTAAATTTTTTAAATATTATAGCTTGTACTAGTTGCATTTGAGAGTAGCTAAATTGCAGAAAATAGGCAATTAGTAGGGCCTCTTTCTCTTTTTTGTATTTGGCAAATTTTTTAGACATAAAGGTTATGCCAGCTTTTGTTGCCGAAAAACCAAACAATTTCGCTAAATTTCTAATCGCAGGGAAACTTTCTACCACGATCAAATGTTATTACATCTGATCTTTTTTCTGTTTTTAAAAGGAAATGCTCAGCTTTTCGATACTTTTTTGTTTAAATTTATTATACGACCTAGGCAAGTTTAACGATGATAAACTCTTAAATGTAGTAACTTTTAAAAAGCTTCCAGTTTTTCACACCTTACACGTATTACCTTTTAAGGTCTTCCTTTAGGTTTTTTATGTGAGCATTCGTCATTACCTTTAGGACCTTTTAACCTTTGAGACAAAGTCAATCGGCCAATTACTATGAGTGAATTTCCGCCTCTTTTAATTTCTTGCAGTTCCTTCATATCTAATAACTTTCACATACTTCCAGAAACCAGAAACGACTTTTGTCACTATCGCCATTCCCATAATCGAAGCTGATGCACCAACGTCGCCGCTGGAAAGAGCCCGCCAAACAAAATACACAAACAAACCCGTTTAGACATATGCATCTGTATCATATGATGCCCAGACAACTCTAAAGTTCCCGTACTGGAACGGTGGAAATCTGTCTATCTAGTGAATGTTGACTAAATCATCCATTCGATTTGATTGTGAACAGCCGTCCATAGCTCCACGCTTGAAGCCATATAGACGGACAGCGTCGAACGATGAAGACTAACAAAGTCAGCTTACGGCATACGACCGCGCCAGCGAAACGACCGAATACGCTGTAATATAGGGACCTAACGCGGTTCACCGTTTCAACGCCACTGCGTTGATGCGAACCGTCGTAGTGGCGCAATGAAGAACATTTCGAAGAAATATATTTAAGATGCTATTACCGTAAGCAGATTGCTGTTACAATGCTGTATCTTGCTAAATGCTATTGAATGTTATGGTGACGATTTTGATATTGCCGACGACGATGACATAATGGTGCGTGAGCCTGAATCAGATCTGATAAGATTACGTATACAGCTGATGCATTCGACGGAGCAGAGTAAGTAAAGAGAAAAAAACACATTACTAAATAACAAGTTGCTGATAGCGGGCAAAGTGGGAAATGGATACTAGACTCGGTCTAGGTCTTGATCAAAACCGCAATAAGATACTTAAATTGATACCGAACTGTATAGTATGTCAGGTACGTAGCTAAACGAGCTTTTTGTTATGGTTTACTTTAAAATACACTTTAGTTCAAATGCAGATGAATTTTTGAAGCATGTCCACGATTTTGCTTACATATACACCAGTGTTTCGAGCTTCTTTTAAAACTTTAGCCGTAGCAAGTTAGAATCATAGAGAACGCTGATGAACTAGGTGTGATAATGTAAAAGAATACATGCAGGCTTTAAACCTAAACATCAGGCTCACTGCGCAATCGGCAGCGGGTTAGCACATCCGTGCCCCTGACACACGTCTGCGAGGATCATAATATGTGCGAACGAATATTCGACGGTCTTTGTGAGCTAAAAAAATACTAGATTTTTCGCCCATGACCGCTCGACGATACGGAAGAGAAGTAGTGCAAGACAGACCAGGAAGCCGGGAAGTGTCCCATTAGCGGACCAGGCTTACTTCAGCGAACTTTGTAAGCGTGCAGGCACGAACTACAAGCTGCGGGTCTTGTAATTTGTCGGAATAAAAGCGAGTGGACAAAGAAAAAGCAGCGTGTTGAAGTTGGGGGACCTGTCGTGCTCACGAGACCCGCGAAATTGTAAGCTTAAGCGTTACCAACAGACGAGCGGTGCTCGTTAGGGACACGCTGGATACGATGTGGGAATTATTAGACTGGGCGTTTGGCACAAAGGGCATTCTTGCCCGATATTTTGCTGGAATAAAACGAAAGCAAGCGTTTTGGAGCAATTATCAATGTTTCTAGTATGCGTTAACATGAGGGGTGATCGTTGCCTAATTGCGATAATTATAATTTCAGTAGGTAATTTATTATTACATTTTTGTTATTTTATGTACGTATTTTGATAATAATTATAAGTAGATTAGCTTTTTCACGTTACAGAAATATACTAGTGGGTTAACATAAAAGTGAACTCAAGCTTTCCGCTTATTAACTCAGCTTCAACTGTCGAGAGCTCGCAGCTCAAAGCTTGTTTTCCACGCTATTCGAAAACTTTGTAATAGAAATACTGTCAATAAAAAATTGAAAAAAAAAACGTGATTTTTAGCAATAAACCATACAATAACTTGTAAACTATTAAACTAATTACAATGCGATCGTTCCATAGCTGTGCAATCTTGCCACTAAAAGTTTAGTCTTTTAGGTGACAGTGAAACCAGCAAAAAAAGAAAAAAAGAATATATATATATAGATTAGAAAGCAAAAAAATATTCGATTTTTTACGACTATACAAGTAAAATAACTGCTTATTATTTAATTTTAACAGGACACTATGGTCACGAGTGACGTTGCCGCCGGGGTTACTTGGATGGAGCTGTCGTCTCGTTCAACATCTGGGCTGAAGATACGCTCCACTAGCAACATCATCGAAATCATCGGCTTCGCTGGAGGTATTAGCGTTGTTCGATCAACGTGAGGAAAAATCGGCGATCAGCACAACTCAAGGCCGAGGGCGAGACGCCATCGAGTGGTTTTGCCTTTTACGGCGGCCCCTGAAACTCGCGCTGGGATCCCTCGAACAACCGGGAAAGGTTTGGTATCTGTTCTATAGGCGAACATATACAGGACAAAAAACCAATAAGTCCTGCACCATCACTTGTAACCTTCCCAGCGTTGAGATCACGCCAACTGTCGCAATGAAGGCTCACCACGTCCAAACGTTCAATAATCAGACTCTGCTCTTCAGTCTGATTAACGTGACCTTAGCGACGACGTTGATGTTCGGAAATATGGTTCGTCCCGGCGTCTATGCCGCATGGCAGGACCCACTACCGCCCAGACTTCGCATCAACAACATACGTAAGTCCCTGTTTATATGTATAGATATACATTGTGCTCTGATGAACAGAAATTGTTCACTGATAATATGTACAAGAGTAATGGCATACTCATACGTCTTTGGCCGTGATTATGTGCACTTATGTTTAGTGACATCGTAATAGATACATGATAGATTACGCTCACTTTGGCAATAAGAAACATGGATAAAAGACATGAACCGGCACTAAGGATTTATATAGCATTAGACATGCTCAAACGGTGTTCTAACGCGGTTACAGTATCGACCAGTTGCTTTATTTCAGTACAATAAAAATCGCATACGGAGAACAGGTATTGTTTTTTTCTTTTATCTCTGTCGGTTGTTAGTTTTCCGCTTTCCATTTAGCGGCCTTTTGTTACTGTGCCGAGCTGCATTGCAGGAAACGCAATAAATATACAAATAGACCTGTCTGAGTTTAAAGGCAGTTCATTGACATAATATGTCATTTACAAAAACAATCGCCCCTCACACGTGTTTGAAAAAGAGAAAATTAATCAGATCTCAACGCCGCATGTCGACACCCGTTGACTTGAACGACTCAAAGACTCAGCCCTTAATTCTACTGAAGCAAACCGAGCAAATCGAACTGATATAACTCAATTAGGCTGAACAGTGAAGTGGGGCGTATAAGACGTGGCAAATAGCGCACTGCCCTACCATCGTCTGCTCGTAATTTTCACAAAAGACTGCCAAAAGTGTTGTCCATGCAGAAAAGCCCGGATATGTTTTGGGCTTTTTTTTTCTTTTAGTTGGACAATTTGCCGATCTCCGGCTAGAAGAGGCAAGTTAGCTCTTGGTCGTATAGTTTGAAACTGCCAGGACTGTTACCGTTACTTCTGTGACCAGTCAGCCAATTGCATTAACTTCTTCTTTCTTTAGGAGAGCAACGGTGACCGCGTGTGACTTGATGCGTCTACATAACACTCATTAACGACTACACTTCGTTGCAGTCGTTCCCGAAATCCCGATCCCGAAAATCAATAGGGCTATTTCTCGTGGCCTCCTCTTTCTCGTTACATACGTACCATTGGTACCATGCCACCGATACTCTTGGTGCTAGGCTTTGGGTATTAGAAGCATAAAGCTCTGAAGGCCACAATTGGTGGAAATTTCTTTTTGAAAGTCCTTTTCCCCAAACCAGAAAATAAAAACAGCCTCAAAACAAAACACGTTTAAAGAATACGGTACTTAGATTTAAATAAATCACGCATCCTAAGAGAAGGGTATTGAGGAAAGCTGACACTCTAGGTCGGAAAGCTCTAGGTTGAACTTAACTGTTAAATGGTATATTTGCAAAGTATTCGGTATACATGTCTCTGTTCTGCTTAGCTAAAACGAGCCTTTAATTTACTCAAGAAATACTTTGTTCTATGAATACTACCTATAGAAAATTTGATTCGAAGCATACATATTCCATTTCTCTGGTTAGGCATGCCGCCTGCATGACACGAAAGGAGTGCCGAAACGATCCAGGTGGTAAACACCATTCTCCTCTTAAGGACTTGACTATCAAATAGTGTTTCGTCATTAAGCATTAAAGAGCACTGACCTCCTTAATTTACCGAGAGCTGTCATCGTCACCACATTTGTCCAAGCTTTATCCTATTTCAGCTGTATTTGGCCTCCCTATCCGACCCAGTCAACCAAGTTAGATTGAAAAAACCCCACGGCAAGATATAGCTCGGGGCTTCTCGCCGGTTGGCAGAATAGGGTCATACTATTCTCAAATGGTTTATGCTGTCGGCAATTGAATTAGCAAAACGGGTTTGGTCAAATCGAGTCCATCTCGCTTCCTTAGGTGTCCATATTGCAAATCATTGTCAGCTGCGACCACATTCGATATCCTGTCATTTGCTCCTAGCCCTGTTCTGTCCTGTCTGCTAGTCCCCAATCAAGAGAGGAAATTTTTTCGTGGAATTCGATTTCTTATGATACGAACAACAATTTGAACTCGACAACAGTTTAGGAGGTTTAGTTTCCTCCGTTTTTGTTTGACAGAAGTCCTAGCTGTTGTTAATGGAGGTGAACTATAAAGGGAACCAACGGATTTTGAATACATCAAAAAAATGGGTTTGTTGCACCACGAATCGCTCCATAATATCTCAGTATGTGGCACCTTGTGCTTTTGCTTCGAGAACTCTTGATGGCACCGCAGCACCAAGCACCACAGCGGTGCATTTGCCGATATGACTCTTACATTGGCTGTGGAAAGTGTCTAGTATTGACCAACATGAGAATTCTCTGACCCTCAGTAGTGCATGCCATAGCCATTTTCTGCATTTATGACAAGGAAGTATCGCTTTTTCATCTACTACACCATAATTCAATCTACCTATGTGTTCATCCATAGTACGATCTTTGAGAAGCAAGTATTGCCCTGCCACGGTTCAGAATTGCGGATGAGATGTAACCAGTCCACAGCAGGACCTATCCTCATCAAGTCCTTTAGGCATGACCGGGCAAATCAACGAAGTTGTGTGGCCTGTTGACTGAGTTTGGCAGAACGAAGGGTCTAAGAGTTTCTGCACGAATAGGCCGGAGGATTTTAGAGCTGTGGTGTATCGAGGGGAGTAGTTCCGTAATGTTGATTGATGATAGCCTGCTCCGACAGCGAAAAATGCACTAATATAGTTAAAAATAGTTTAGGATCTATGTATTAATAATACATATCAATGCGAAGGGCTGTGAAGCGTCTGGCTATGATTTGTTTGGATTTGAGGAAGACCTACAAGCGTCATCATCTACTAAGATCTTCGAATAAAATAAAATATATATTCCTTTATTGGTAATATTTTCGACGTGCTTAAAATGATTTTTTATTTGCAAAACCAAGGCTACAACGATCAGCGCGTTTACGGTATCAATTTCGAGACATTCCAAAATAGTTAATGCTACGCCTGGTACATGAGGATACCCACTGAAACCAAGCAGTGACCGCCTTGTAGAAGATTGTAATTAAAATTTGTTTTATATCAAGCGAATTATAGAAATGGAAACTAAACCCAATGACATACGCTTCCCTTGTATATAAAGCACGACATAATACACCTTATATAAAGGTGTATTATGTCGTGCTTTAGGGAGCAAGTAGGTCGGTTAGAAAAGTCAAGTTGCGACAATTATAGGTTATTGTGAATTGAGACTAGACGTATCAATCTCAATATCTGCAGATTTTCAACTAAGACCTTAGAATCTCCAATAACTATAAGCTAGTTAAAATCGACGCGATACTATTCAATATAATTCGTCAGCGAGAATAGGACAAGCCTTAATGGCAGGTACCGCTAACTGGGTGCGATATCAGTAGAGATTCCACTGCTAACACTATGTGTGACACTTGTGGGAAAGGTGAAAAAAAAAAGGACCAACTTCGTTCCTTTGCAAATATGTATAGGTGTGTGTATGTCTCAACGCGTTCGTTCTATCGACTGTAAATCTCAGTGACGTGACCAGTAGACATGCGAGCTGCGGTGCAAACGTTCGCCATTTCCGACGGACCATGAGTATCATGTTTTCTCGCCCAGTCTTAAATGGCTGACCGTTCCGAATCGAACTCTGTTAGTCGAGCGAATGAACGTAACATATTAGACAGGACTTTTTTTCCAACCCATCCTTGTCGTCTTTATCTTGACGATGATGACCGCATTACACTCCCTAGTGCCTGAACGGAGTCACGCGCCAGCAGTCGCTACGAGTTTCAAGCTTGTCGGTATGTGTGAGTTTGGATGTGTTGGTCTATGCTAACAAGCAGCCGACACCCGGAGATCGACAGCAGACAACTCGTCTGCTTGTCACGTTTCTTTTCTACCTGAGCGTTTATCGCGTCCTCGCAACGGACCGATTAGGTGCGTTCAGAAATGTCACCATCGTCGCTTTATCGCTTTTCGGTGACACTTACTCGTCGTTTCATCATTTCTAAGCCGTCATTGAACGTAGCCCCCTGGATGTCGCTACTGCTGTTTCTAGTTGACGCCGAAGATCATTCTTATGGACGGTTATCGCGTGTCCATCGACAACCGCGTTACTAAAATGAGTTTGTACTGCCACCACTCCCCACCCCAAGGATAGCGACGTCACGGCCTCTACTGTTAAACCCTCCTCTAGCGGCATCGTTGTCAAGCGTGTTGCACTCGAACGCGGCTTTGAAGGGGCCGAAAACTATAAAGGCAACGCTGTTTGTATACGCTGTAGAGTGGTGCTATGATATTTGTTGCCATCTCCTAATTTTACCAACTTTCACATATGTATCTTATGATGATGGCAGTTGTGGCTCTTAGCCGAGCTTCTCGCTATTAAATCAACGTTGATATATGCCTATAAATGACGGTACAGCTACTGTGAGCGACGTCTCATGCTGGAGGCAGCGTGTCGCGTGACCGACACACGCTAACACTGGCTACAATAATGACAGACGCAGTATAAGATGTCGCTCTGACTGACAGGATTCTATCGTCGGCCCACATGAGATCCAACTTGACGGTACCGTGCGCTACCGTTGCCTCATCTAGTTTACCAGTTTCGATACGACTACCGCTTATAGGACTACATTATATGTGCTATAATTATCGCACGCACTTTTCTTCATGCAAGCTGTGAAACCCTCGTTGTCGAATTCGTCTCTGTGCAACAGTACCTTTGAAGAAGCTTAGACTAGCCACCCAAATTGCTGGTAGAGCTGCTATATACAATTACGTCATCATAATATTGGCCAGGAGAAGATTCGTACGAGCACTCGTGAAATATACGCTCATACAACGATCAAGCGTATAATATAGAATACCTGTATAGTTGTGATCTAACATATATAGTTTAGCCAATTGTCTGCTACATGGCTGTGTGGCAATAGGACCAATGGCGAGTGAAATTCAGCATTCGGAGCATAATTCAGTCGATACCTATCTCGGTCGGCCAACATGACAAGGAGGGGTGTCCATTACATCAATTTTATACATAAAATTGTGGATCTGCAACGAATATA